TGCCCCTCCCACGACCTCCTCCTCCCCCTCATGCGACCTCCTCCCCCTCCCTGTCCTTGCGCGACCTGCACTTCCCCCTCGCACAACATCTCCCACCTCTCTTCCAGCCTCCTCCGGCTTCCCCTTCCTCCTTGCGCGACCTCTTCCTCCCCCTCGCGCGTCCTCTTCTGACCTCCTCATCCCGCTCGTGTGAGGCTCCTCCCACCTCTTTCGATCTCCGCACGACCTCCACGCGACCTCCCGCTCGTCCTTTCACGATCTGCACTTCCCCCTCGCGCATTGTCTTTAGAGCTCCTCCTCCCCCTTGTGTGGCCTTCGTGCAATGTCCTCCCCCTCTTCCGAGCTCCTCCTACCCCTCGTGCGACCTCCTCCTCCACCTCACGCATCCTTTTTGCACCAGGCCCACCCCAGGCACGGCCATTATCCAGCGCGGGCGACATCGAGGGTGTTTGTGTTACAAAATGAGGGACGCGGAGCATTCGGGGGGGCATCAGCCAAGGCATCAGCACGCCATCGGATCCTTTGCAAATCAGAACTATTTTATTGTGGTCACCGCTGGATTCGTACTCACGTCTGCAATTCAACAGTTTCATGTGTGCATCAACAGAGCAGCCTGCCAATGTTCAAATTGAGACGGAATCTTCCGCAAGAACAGAGGAAGATACACCGCGATGGACAAATATATTGAAAAGAGATCCCGGTGTGGGTATGAACTAAAGAGCTGTCAGATGCAAATGTCGCACAGATAGAGAGAGAGAGAGACCGCTGCTGCCCTCACGCTACTTCCATCGATAGGATGAGCAAAATAGAATGAATATTTCGCTAGAACCTAGACTACCAGCCGGGCCGCCCAGGTCCCGGGTGGCCAGCCTGTGCAAGGATCAGGGAAGGTTCCAGCAAAAAAAAAGAAAAAGAAAAGAAAAAAAAAGCGAAAAAAAAAAATGTTATGCAGAAAAATAAAGTGAACAATTTTTGCCTCAGCGTCACATCGAAATTCTTCACCAAATTTAGAATAAAAAATAAAATTTAGAAATATTCCTTTCATTTCTTTTTTTTTTTTTTTTTTGGCCTGGCCGGGCTGGCCACTCTGGTAGCCTAGGCTAGAACATGGAAATATACGCTACTACACCTGTGTGTGTGTGTGTGTGTGTGTGTGTGTGAGAGAGAGAGAGAGAGAGAGAGAGAGAGAGAGAGAGAGAGAGAGAGAGAGAGAGAGAGATTTCCAGCCATGCACACAGAGAGATAGAGAGAGGCTACTTCCATCGATAGGATGATCAAAATCGGAATGAATCTTCCACTAGAATATGGAAATATACACTGCTTTCCAGCCATGCGTGCAGAGAGATAGAGAGAGGCTACTTCCATAGATGGGATGAGCAAAATCGGAATGAATGTTCCGCTAGAACATGGAAATATACACTGCCACTTTTTTTTTTTTCTTTGTGTGTGTGTGTGTGTGTGTGTGTGTTTGTTAAAGAGAGAGAGAGAGGGACACAGAGAGAGGGAGAGAGAACAGGTAAGTCTCCAACCTTGCGGCTGGCCTCACGCCACTCCCATCGACTGGATGAGCAAAATCGAATGAATCTTCCGCTAGAACACGGAAATATACACTTTCTAACAGCCCTCCCATTTCGCACCGGGCCGACCGCCTCGCGCTGCTCGGCCTTGCGCCTTTTCGAGACACACAGTTTTCCAGCCATGCACGCAGAGAGATAGAGAGAGGCTACTTCCATCGATAGGATGTGCAAAATCCGTGGCCAAAAAAGGCCATGTTCATAAAACCACGCCAACAGCAGCCTTCCCCCCGAGCGTTCACACGATTGTTGCACAATCGCATCCCCGAAACTCCATTCACACAGGCCGGAACCAACCTCGGCCTGAACGGTCGCCACCAGACTCAAAACATTAAATCGCGGAAAAACAATATCTGAACACTGACCGCCAGTCCGAGACTCGAAACGATAGTCGAGCGCGGAAAAAAGAACCACGGAAAAGTCGAGCGCCGATGCCTGCTCGGCCGCTCACCGCGAAACTGGAAACAAAAGTCGAGCGTCGATGTCTGCTCAGCTGCTCTCCACACGGGCCGTGGGCCCGTTTTGCTCTTTCCCAACGCGATGAACGGGGCTTCACGCGAGGCCCTCTATTTCCTTTAGCGCATTTTAGACGTAACTCGAGGCTGCCGAAAAAAGAAACGAACAGAAAAGAAAAGAAATGGATAGCATATGCACGCAGTGGAAATTTCTAATGTGGGCTTAGTGGAAGTCCCGTTCAAGTCCCCACAATGGCAATTCCCACTACACGAACGCTATCCATTTAATTAGCACGGAAAATTGGAAATTTCTTCTGCATGTCGCCTTTTGCCCGAGGGCCATGCTAGTTAATTTTCTCGATGTTTCCATGTTGTGTCGTCTTTGGCTAAGGGGCATGCTAATTAATATTCTCCGTACCGTTCTAATTTTAATGGAGGTTCCAAAGGACACTCCCCACTCCCCACGCCCCACATTGTGGAGTGCTCCTTTAAATGCCTCAAAATGTTTGTTTTT